CAAAGCTTCTAAGAACAAAGTTTCCAACAATGAGGTTTCCACACAACCGGATTCCTCCCTGTGAATAATAAAGTATGTTGATAGACTGATTAAGGCAAGGTATTCTTTATGGTTTATAAAAAAAGGACCATTTTAAATGCAATTCATTTACGAGAGGAAAATTCCCACCCTGACTTTAACGACCTTTAGTTGCTGTCACACCCGTTTGGTCTGTTTTCCGTTTATTTGGTTCACACGTGGGAAAACAATTGAGATGTTAATGGTAGTCTGGTTCATGTCAACATTAACTTTTTACAAACATAGACGTCACACACACTGACGAGGGGTGTAACAGTTCTGAAACCATATAAGAAACTACAGTTCAATCTTCAAACCTGTGGAATAAAGCACTCAGTTGAGCTGTTGTCCAAACATGCTTCATTTTATGACAATGGATCCATAAATCTTTCTTACATCAGATAATACTTTCTCCAAGTTTCAATTTCTTCTAGACAATCATCTTATGGTAGTGCATGACTTAGCTATCCTACATTTCCACTGCTTCTACGTCAACATGCGTCAGGTGCTTGACGGGGATTTGAGTCAAATTTCTAAAAACAATACAGCCCATAACAACAATGAGTCATGCAGCTGGCAAACCCAGAATACATTTACCACAGGCAAATCAATCCTGAAGTCACATGTAAGACCTTTTAAGACCTTTTAAGACCTTTTCTAAGACCCTTTCCATACATTTTAAGACCTCATCGCCACTTTGAGTTTTAACCGGTTACCATGGCGACACACTTTACCTCACATTGACTATACACAGTATTGATTGTCCTTCCTCCTTATCTTCCAACCATTTGGACGCAGACTTGCATTTCCCCATAACGATGTTGTTTAACAGTCGGGCGTAAACGGGACTTCGCGCGCTATCAAGCAGTGAGCGTGCGATGTCCTGTTCAGATGACGTCAAACCCAACGGGATGCCATAAATAAACTCCACAGAATCACACTACACACCTACGCAATGATTACATTCAGGCAGACTGTAGAATACCTCTTTGGACAATTCATATACTTATTGGAAACTAGCTACAAAATGTAATACCTTGGAAAATGCCCTTTAATACTTTTTAATAGCCTTAATTTTCGCTAAATTGATTGATTAACTTTTAATACTTTGTAAGACCCCGCGGACGCCCTGTACATGTATGCTCGTCTTAAACACACATTGAAATGAATCACCTTGCATCTACTCTGTGTCTAACAGCATGTCCACAAAATGAAAAGGAAAGCCGCTCCTGACAACTTAAGTGTGCTTGTGTAATTGGCTTTATTAACCATGGTTCCAACACCATATGTTCTGCTATAAAAGTCAGAGCTGCCATTCATCTGGTCCTCTAATAAGCCTAACCACGGATTACAATATCCAACTTTCCTTTAACAATGGCGTGTTCTTTGTTCTGCTTTACTGTACAGGTATTGGATGTGGACCAGGTAATGCATTGAATCCAAAGAGGAAAGAATAGTGCTTGTTACCCACAGTGTTGTTGTGCATCATGTGGAGTCTTTGTAAGTATAGGACACATTTGAAAGTAATACTGTCTCACATGCAAACATCACACCGACACAGTCGATGGCGTTTGCTCATTAAAATGATCAGAACCTTGGATATCCAAAAAGAAAAACTTTTACTGTAGAAATTAAACATCAGAAACCCCTTATTACCTAAGATCAGGGTTTATTCAGTATCAACAGTAATGCAGGTGAATGTTGTACCAAAAAGTGTGCAAAACTCAAGCTTGGCACTATGACGAACTGAATGAGGGTAACAGAGAGGCCAATAGAGAGCCACAGTGACACGTCCTAAAACCCAGAAGTAAACTCCTTCCGGTTCCTTCGACAAAAACGCAATGCAATCTCTCCATAGGATTTAGGAGCTGGATATAAGGTCTGTGGTTGAGACACATTGAAGAGACGGATCACGTTTTGTTCAGCCGGATAATCTCCACATGTCTACCCTACTTTTATAATTTTCTAATCATAAATCTAGTCGCCAGAAGCAAAATGCTAACGTTATCCTATAAACGAACTACAGCAGGGTCGCTGCTTCAACGTCACGCCAACTTAAGATCCATATTCAAACACACAGATTATAAACTGTACAAGTTGAAGCGTTTGTTTGAACACTTTGCAGGAGGCAGGTACTTGCTTTAAAGCAGAGCAGGGCAAACAAACTTAGAGGAGTGTTTACGTGTTCGGCGTAATGACGTACAACGGCCTCGATAACTTCTGTAGTCCTATTCAGCCACTTGGTAACAACCATCGTTTCTCAGACACGTCAACTCTTCAGAAATCACCAGTGGGGTCACTGCTGATGGATTTAATGTCGTAGAACAAAACGTGATCCGTCTCTTCAATGTGTCTCAACCACAGACCTTATATCAGCTATTTTCCAAAACCCTATGGAGAAAAGGAACCGGAAGTGGTAACATGCTAACTTACTTCTGGGTTTTAGGACGCGTCACTGTGGCACTCTATAACAATCAGTAAATACCTTTAAAATAAATGTTTCTCTCTAACACTATCTTAATATGTATCTCCCCGCTGTGCTTGGTTCATTGTCAGAATCAGGTTCATTTCAAAGACTGTCTAGTCACACTGTTTTTTGGTGTATAATGGTGCATAAATAAAGACTGTATTTCCATTGTATTGTTTCTTAATCATTGTTTTGTTGAGCAACTTCGCATAGCTTTTCATACAATGTTGTGTTCTCAGTAACATAAATTACTTTGTCATCTTCGATTAAATGCATGATTTCCTGGAACACAATGTCAATATTTCTCCAAGTTATAATTAGTCTGACTAATGTTTGCTCAGCCTGTAGAACCTGAACCAGACCAAGCCTTCTTTGACCATGAACAAGTGACATGCAGCCCTATCTTCTCCACCAGTATCATCCTGCCAAACCTCTCCAAAGGTCAGAAAGTTGACTTTGTTTGGCTGGAGGATCGGACATTAGTGTTGTTTCCCTCCTGATGATTCACAGCAGAGAGAAAGGGGTTCCTCTGGTCTTCAAAAGCAACACAATGAATCCACTCTCACTAGCAGGTGTTGTGCTACACATGACCCTCAGCAGGTAGACTGTCGGCACGTCTATTTGTACCCCTCCGACAAACAAGTCCTCGAACAAAACCTCCTCCCCTGCAGCTCTACTCAGAGGTGGGAAGTAGAGGAAATACTTCGTTACTGTACTTAAGTAAATGTTTCTGGTATCAGTACTTTACCCCACTACTTATTTTTCTGACCACTTTTAACTTTGACTTCTTACATTTTGAACCCAAATACCTGTACTTTCTACTTCTTACATGTTGAACACAAATACCTGTACTTTCTACTTCTTACATGTTGAACCCAAATACCTGTACTTTCTACTTCTTACATGTTGAACCCAAATACCTGTACTTTCTACTTCTTACATGTTGAACTCAAATACCTGTACTTTCTACTTCTTACATGTTGAACACAAATACCTGTACTTTCTACTTCTTACATGTTGAACCCAAATACCTGTACTTTCTACTTCTTACATGTTGAACCCAAATACCTGTACTTTCTACTTCTTACATGTTGAACACAAATACCTGTACTTTCTACTTCTTACATTTTGAACACAAATACCTGTACTTTCTACTTCTTACATGTTGAACACAAATACCTGTACTTTCTACTTCTTACATGTTGAACACAAATACCTGTACTTTCTACTTCTCTCATTTCCCAAACAGGCTGGTTCCTTTAGTTTGAATGTGTGTTTGGTGGCGTGATCATTATTATTTAGAGTCATTGCGTGCCTATTGATTTGAACACGATCCGTGTATCCATCATTTCCTGGTCTTCTCTAAAGAAGAGGGACCAATGAAAACGTTGTCATGTTGCCGTTGTTCAGCATGGAAACATTCATTAGCTAACAATGACATTATTGTTCTATTAATATAAAGGGAGGTCAGGTACTCTTTAAAACAGCTGCTAGTTATGGGTACTTTTTACTGAAGTACATTTCAAAGCCCTCTTTACTTTCACTTGAGTAAAGAAGTTTAGTCAGTACTTCTACTTTTACCAGAGTATTTTTAAACACGAGTATCTGTACTTCTCCTTGAGTAAAGGATGTGTGTACTTTTGCCATCTTTGGCTCTACTACATTCACATCCGACTTTTCTCATTCTCTGTCACACTGTATTTTCCCATTTGGAGTTTCACACAACATCCCCTAAAGTTACCTTTATTGAACATCTGAGTTCTTCTCTAAAGAACAGAGTGCATTGGCAAACAAGGTGGACACCAGCTTAATAAACGTGTGTTCTTTCTGTAGCTGAAGTACTTTTGGTTGTGAATAATGCTATAGTTTTACCTCAGCTTTTCTGTAAAGACTTATTATAGCACATATAGTACAGAGTGTGCTACAGAGAGAAGGGGAGTTAAATATCACAACCTTAGTTATTCAAGTTACATGTAAAACCTTTTAAGACCTTTTCTAAGACCCTTTCCATACATTTGAAGACCTCATCGCCACTTTGAGTTTTAACCGGTTACCTTGGCGACACACTTTACCTCACATTGACTATATTCAGTATTGATTGTCCTTCCTCCTCATCTTCCAACCATTTGGACGCAGACTTGCATTTCCCCATAACGATGTTGTTTAACAACCGGCGTAAACGGACCTTCGCGCGCTATCAAGCAGTGAGCGTGCGATGTCCTGTTCAGATGACGTCAAACCCAACGGGATGCCATAAATAAACGACACAGAATCACACTACACACCTACGCAATGATTACATTCAGGCAGACTGTAGAATACAACCTCTTTGGAAACAAGCTACAAAATGTAATACCTTGGAAAATGCCGTTTAATACTTTTTAATAGCCTTCATTTTCGCTAAATTCATTTATCAACTTGTAATACTTTTTAAGACCCCGCGGACCCCCTGCTTTCAAACACACCGTTCTATTACCTTAATGTGGCTGTACTCCGCCCTGCCAGACTCGCTGCCGACTGTCTTGTTTTCGGAGCGGGGTTTGAGGACATGGCGTAGTGGACTGTTGATTGGCAGGCCCGTCACGCTGATCCCATCTGAAACACATCATGGCATCACACAGTCAGCAAAGAAACCAGCATAGAGGCAAGGCCGTCATTAAAGAGTGGATAGCAGGGAATCTAACTCGTCTCATATTGTAGGATAGCAACAGTTTTACACGACACATTTTGGATTGAATTGTTTTAATCAATCTCTGTCATGTATCTTTTGTTAGTCAGTCATTACTACTATGCAATCCCCACGAAACAGTCCCAGAATCGATACTCAAAATTAGAGATGTCCCGATCCGATCACGTGATCGGGGATCGGAGCCGATCACGTGATTTTCAAAAGATCGGAATCGGGAGAAAAAAATCGGGGATCGGGAATTTTTTTTTTAATTTAATGTTACAAAACAAAAATGACCATGTTCACGTCTTAAAGTCGTCATGAGGCCTTAGTTTTGGTTTAAAATTACACAACATCATGTATGTGTTGCTTCTTTTGGGCTTGTTTTCATCGACCTGGTTGCTTATTTCTCTCAAATCTGGCAACAGAGTGGGCGCAGTGTCTAATAGTAGCAGTAAGCTAACAAGAGGCTACGTTCAGCTGGTGCCTCGGGAGTCGGGACAGAGAACATGTCAGGAGTTTGGAAGTATTATAAAATTGAAAGCGAAGGCAGTGTAACAGCCAGATGCAATGTTTGCAAGGCGGAGGTTCCACGTGGTGGAAAGAACAGAGCTACGTTCAACACGACCAATCTAATACAAACACCACCAACAACACGAGGAGTACACAGCGGCCACTCAGGTAACGGCACTGAAACAACCGACACTTTCAGAGACTTTTAAAAGGAAAGAGAAACTGCCCCAGAACAGTGAAAAGGCCAAAAGAATAACAGCCAAGATAGCTGAATTCATCGCGTTGGATGACCAGCCGTTATCTGTTACCTTTTTTTTCTCTTAATGCATTGCATAAAGATCGGATCGGGAAAAATCGGTATCGGCAGATTGTCAAAATCAAATGATCGGAATCGGATCGGGAGCAACAAAAGGTGATCGGGACATCCCTACTCAAAATGTATACAAGTGCTAATAATGTAAGCATGCATGTATTACTGAAAAGGAAATATCTAATCTAAAATGTGAACACCATCAGTTATAATTATATACAACATAATATATATGAAAAGATGCATTCAAGTGTGTCTAATTTTAAAGTGTTGCCCTCTACTAAAGTTAGATTTGTTTTAAACAATGTATTTACAGTTATTTGTGGTTGTGTGTACAGCCTGTTGTAAATAGGGAAAAATAATCACATTTCAATCCACCGTTAATATAGTGAAGTGCACATTGAAGACCCATGACTCATGATGTTTCAGCTTTAGTGATGGTTGACACTAGCTGCTAAATTTAATTAAAAACTCTGCAAGAGACAGTCATCGTTTTAGCCGGGGAAAAAGCAAAAGGTTTTCAGACAGAAATGCCTTTTTTACCTATTTTTAAGTTATTGTATGACATGAAAGACAACCAGCATAGCAGCAGACACTAAGAGGAGCTGGGGCTAAACAAATAGTTCATTGCAAGTTGTTTCTCCTACTAACTAATGCACTGTTGCCCTGATGTTAATCATACCTTTGTAACGAGTATAATGTTCAATGAGATGCTGTTTGAGTTATTGTTGGATAATCAAGCCTCATACTGAGGGGTGTTTTATTTAATACTTATGTAAACAGGAACCATAACTGTGTATTTTAAGCAAAGTTTGCCTAATGGACGTTTAACACAATGTCCTACATGTACGTTATCTCAATATACTGAGGTCACATTGCTTTGTTAAATTGTAAAAGTTGAGGTTTTAATATTTCAAAGTGATAGAAAATCTGATATTATAGTGTCCATTGTGAGAGCTAAAGCATGTGAAGAACAAATGAATGATGATTTGATATGTGTGACCTTGAGAGGACAGGGGAGCAGCTGCACTATCAGAAGCTGCATGAGGCGAAACCACAGGGGCTGCCGCTTTCAACCCACTCAGACAATACTCCAAAATGATGCCCAGAGCCCACAGTCTGACGTCAACGCGCTCATATCGCTCTCTGACGTCAGTGGAAATGCTAAAGCCCTGCAATTTCCCCCTAAGAGGAGGGGAATTACAAGCCTTTGCCAAAAGCCCAGGCTATTAGGTTCACGATAGACGGCTTTTCACAGACGACCAGACTCTAACGACCACATAGATTGGGAACAAGTGAACCAACTGAAGGTGTTTCTGTTCAAAGGGAAAAGTCACAGAAGAACAGGGGTGTGCATGGAGTGATAATGCTGCTGATGGGATTAATGCTGTGATATGTCCATTGTGCTTAATTTGCCGTGAAAACAGGTAAACACGGAGCAAGTGTTGAGTTTGCATTCACAGCAGGAAGGGGACATGAATACAGCTAACTGGAGCAGATGAGAAAACAGGGTGATAAAAGACTGGTAAATAAAGGTCTGTCTCAAAGGAGAGAGCATAGCTTAACTCACTCCCTTATATTAAATATATACAGCTATTTTCTTTAGGGTGTTATCAGACAGAAACAAAGCCCCCAGGAAGACATATGCAAATAAAACTGATTTTCATTCTTGCCTCTTTTTTCTTTTATTAAATGAAATACTTATGCATGTGTTGAACTGTTTCCTAATCCCATATGAAAGACTCAAATCATGTCCCGTGTTCTTGCCCAGCTACCAGACAGTGTCAAATATATCTCGTGTGACAGACCGTCGATTCATTAAGAGGGAGTAGCATTAGGGCTGTGCAATTAATCGTATTTTAAATCGCAATTACGATTTTGGCCTGCCACAATTACGAAAACAACATAATCGAAAAAAATAATTATTTTGCTTTGCTTGGTTGTGACCGTGCAACATATTTGATCTAATTAATTTTAGTCTAATTTATTTTTATTTATCATATTTATATATGTTTAGTAGCTTGTGGAAGTGCGCTCCAAAATATTTGTTGATCTTGTTTATTGGTATTTATTATTTTGATATTATTTATTTAAATATATCATTTATTTTATTTATTTTTGTATTGGTTTTTCAGTTGAATTATACGTTCAGGGTAATCAACAGTTAAAGAGATACTGTTCAAATTATTATTTGTATTTGTTTTAAAGTTCAATAAATGGATGTTTTCAAAGTCAATGAATAATCGTATTTAATAATCGTGATATCAATTATTGACCCAAATAATCGTGATTATGATTTTTGCATTATATCACATGTTCATTGTCCCATGTGGACACTCACTGAGAGAAACCTGTGGTTCAAAGAGTTTTGCTCAAAGACAGGTCTGCATGTGGGGAGGAGCTGGGCAACGATTGAAGCTAAACAAAGAAATACTTTTTACTTAAATTGTTGCGTACAAAGTCACAGCGGTAAGTGTATTCTGTTTCAGTCTCATTTAGTCCTAATGTTTCACTTCACAGCTCCAACTCTGCCATATTAGATATTACAGTCCACCTATGATTGTCAGCTTTTACCTGGAAGCTGCGATACACTCTGGTGGCTATCATTAGCAGCTAATATGAAATCTCCGTTTTTGACATCAAAATGGAATGATGGATTATCAGTAATCATTTCAAAGTGACACAGACACATTGGATTAACCATTGGATTAACCTTCAGCGGCGTTCTTATCATCTTAATGCCATTGAACACGACTTTTGATCAGAACAGCTACGGTGAGACGATCTCCCGTGAATGCTCCGTAAAGCTACGTGTTGTGATGTCTGTGTTTGCTTGCCCTGTCGCGAGTTCTGATCGCTCAGTGATGATACGTATACCTATAGAATCTGTGGAATCTCAGCTTTAATCTGATATCTTGTCTGTGCAGTTACGATAAGTAATAAGGGTATTTCTACCTTGAGTTCTGTGCTAAGTGCGTTAGCATTTTTTCGCTCAGGGCTCATTTAGACGCTTCTTGTGAAATGGTAAAAATGGTTCGTATTGTCAGTTAGCTGAGTTTCTTCCCGTTAAGTGAGTATGACACATTAATAGGTTTTTAAATATTAAGATGCCCTGAGACACAGTTTCGTGGAAAAACACCCCGCAGCCCCCTGTACAGTCATTTTATATTAACTTCTTTATCGCAAATATGACGGCTAATTTGCTTTTCCACTTCAGAAATAACTAACTTGCTATTTCATAATTAGTTTGGAGCTTGGTGTTTTTGTTTTGGCGGCTTCAATGGCATTATGTCGGGTAATCTTGACTTACTTATCTCAGAGTTTGTATACGGCTATTCAGTTTTATTCCCTTTTGTGATACTTGGTGGGGTGTTTACGTGCAAACTAGAATTAGTAAACATGTGCTTTCAAAAGGAGGTTTAAGGGATTCATCATTTTAACAACAGAGGTAAGAAGAATGATGAACTATAGGAACATATGAGGCAGACTTATCTCAAGAACAAATTAAACTTTGGTAGATATTGGTGAATGAGGCCCAATCTTCTCTTGTTATTGCTTCATTCTCGTTCTCCTGATGCTAAACACATTAGATAAGCATTTGGAGATTCAGAGTGACAGAAAAGAAAGTCTAAAAAATAAACACACATTTTTTCGAGGCCATGAACTGCATCCTTTGCTATAGTCTTTCAGGAGGAACACATGACTGGCCTTGTCCTGTGTGGCACAGAGACCGTTTGAGTAATGGCTGCTGTGATTAACGATGGCAGAGCTCACAATCATCCCCTCCTTGATGCCCTCCTTCCAATCAGTAGCTGTCTCGTTCTCTGTCTACCCATCTCGGGGAAAATAGGGGGGAACTCAGGGTTTCTATCAACGCCCACGTCCTTTAGGCTGAAGAGCAAAGGCTGCGAGTGTCACTTCTGAAATAATTCTAACAATATTAGCCCGGGTCTGAAGGTGCGAAAAGTGGATCTTTGCAATGTCACTCACATCGACAAGCCTGCTCTCTGGAAGATAGAAATGCCTAGTACAGGGCTTCTCAAACTCCGGACCGAACTGCAAATCAATCCGGACCGAACTCTGTGTCCCATTATAAAAAAACAA